CTAGCATTCACATTCGATGGAGAACTGAAAACTTTTAATAGCAAAGAAAAACTAAATGAATACATAAACATTAAGCCAGCATTACAAAGAATTCTAAGAGGGGGGACACAACCTGAAGAAAGCAACCAGGAACTGGAACCTGCCCCAAACAGGCATTACTCAAAGTCTAACTGAGCAAGCACAGGAGGAAAGGAAAGAAGAAAAACTTAGGAAAACGGAATGGCAGGGACAACAATGCATCTCTCTATACTTTCTCTTAATATAAATGGGCTGAATTCGCCAATTAAAAGAAAACGAACTGAGGACTGGATCAGAAAACAAGACCCATCCATCTGTTGCCTTCAGGAGACCCACCTCTCAGCCAAACATACAAACAAACTCAGAGTGAAGGGGTGGAAAAGGATCTACCAATCAAATTCCCCCAATAAGAAAGCAGGTGTAGCTATCCTGATATCTGACAAAATAAACTTTTCATTAAAATCAGTACAGAAAGACAAGGACGGACACTACATATTAATAAAGGGAACAATCCAAGAGGAGGATATAACCATCATCAACTTATATGCCCCAAATATTGGTGCACCCAGATATGTTAAACAAATGCTCTCAAACTTACAGAATAAAATAGATCCCAATACGATAATACTAGGAGACTTTAACACGCCACTCTCACCAAAGGACAGGTCTACCAACCAGAGGATTGGTAAAGAAGCTACCGAATTAAGTGAGGCCATACTTCAAGCGGAATTAACTGACATCTACCGAGTATTTCACCCTAAAACAACACAGTACACATTCTTCTCAGCAGCTCATGGAACTTTCTCCAAAATAGACCATATCATAGTTCATTCAAGGAACTTAAGCAAATACAAAGGGATCGACATAATCCCCTGTATCCTATCTGACCACAGTGGAATCAAGCTAGCTCTCAATAACAAAGCATACCGCAGAAATTTCTCTAATACATGGAAATTGAACAGCACACTCCTTAACAAGGCCTGGGTAACAGAAGAGATCAGAGAAGAAATAAAGCATTTCCTAGAACTCAATGAAAATGAAAACACCTCACAAAGAAACTTGTGGGACACAGCAAAAGCAGTCCTGAGGGGCAAATTTATTGCCCTCAGTGCCCACATCAAGAGAATGGAGACAGACCAAGTAAATAATCTCATGTTGCAACTAAAACAGCTAGAAAAACAAGAAAAAATGGGACCCAAAGCTACTAGACGAAGCCAGATAACCAAATTGAGAGCAGAGATTAACCAATTAGAAAATCAGAAAACCATAACCAAAATAAACCAAACAAAAAGCTGGTTCTTTGAAAAAATAAACAAAATTGATGGCCCGTTGGCAAGATTAATTAAAAAAAGAAGAGAGGAAACCCATATTAATAGGATTAGGGATGCCACGGGAAACATCACAACACGCACCCAAGATATCCAAACAATTCTAACAGACTACTTTCAAAAGCTATACTCTCTAAAGGAAGAAAATCTGGCGGAAATGGATGCATTTTTAGAGAAATACAAGTTACCCAAACTGAGCAAAGAAGAAGTTAACCAATTAAATAAGCCAATATCCTATAATGAGATACAGGAAGCTATCAAAAGTCTTCCAACAAAAAAAAGCCCAGGACCAGATGGATTCACAGCAGAATTCTATAAGACCTTTAAAGAAGAACTAATACCCATACTCCTCAAGCTCTTCAGAGAAACAGAGAAGGAGGGAGCTATCCCAAACTCATTCTACGAAGCCAATATCACACTCATCCCCAAACCAGGCAAAGACCCAACCAAAAAGGAGAATTACAGGCCAATCTCCTTGATGAACACAGATGCAAAGATCCTTAACAAGATTCTAGCTAACAGAATCCAGAAACACATAAAAAAAATAATACACTATGATCAGGTAGGCTTCATCCCAGAGACACAGGGATGGTTTAACATACGTAAGTCAATAAATGTAATCCAGCATATCAACAGAGCCAAGGTCAAGAATCACATGATTATCGCCACAGATGCAGAAAAGGCCTTTGATAAAATTCAACATTCATTCATGCTAAAAGCTCTGGAGAAAATAGGAATAGAAGGAACATTTCTAAAAACAATAAAAGCCATTTATGACAGACCAATAGCCAATATTATACTTAATGGAGAAAAGCTACAACCAATCCTCCTAAAAACAGGAACAAGGCAAGGATGTCCACTGTCTCCACTCCTCTTCAACATAGTCCTAGAACCCTTAGCCAGGGCAATAAGGCAAGAAAAAGACATTAAAGGGATCCGCATAGGGAAAGAAGAAGTGAAACTATCCCTTTTTGCAGACGACATGATACTATACCTCCACGATCCCAAAAACTCCATCCCCAAACTTTTAGAAATCATAAGTCACTTCGGCAAAATAGCAGGATACAAAATAAACCCACAAAAATCAGTTGCCTTCCTATACACTGATAACGCACAGGAAGAGAGGGAAATAAAGGGAGCAACCCCATTCACAATAACCTCCCAAAAAATAAAATATTTAGGAATTAACCTAACCAAAGATGTAAAAGAACTATTTAATGAGAACTATAAAAAGTTAAAGAAAGAAATTGCAGAAGACACTAGGAAATGGAAAGACCTCCCATGCTCCTGGATAGGCCGACTTAATATAGTAAAGATGGTGATACTTCCAAAATTAATATACAAATTCAATGCAATTCCTATTAAAATCCCAATGACGTACATCACTGAAATACAGAAAACAGTCCAAAAATTTATATGGAACAACAAAAGACCTAGAATAGCCAAAACAATTCTAGGGGATAAAGACAATATGGGAGGGCTATCCATGCCGAACTTCAAACTCTACTACAGAGCTATAATCACAAAGACAGCATGGTACTGGCACAAAAACAGACCCGAAGACCAATGGAACAGAATAGAAGATCCAGATATAAATCCACAGGCCTACAGCCAGCTGATATTCGACAAAGGAGCCAAAGACATACAATGGAAGAAACACAGCCTCTTCAACCGCTGGTGCTGGGAAAACTGGGCAGCCACATGCAGAAAACTAAAAGTGGACCCCAGCCTATCACCATGCACCAACATCAACTCAAAATGGATTAAAGACCTTAACATTAAACCTGAATCTCTGAAACTACTGCAGGACAGAGTAGGAGAGACACTTGAACTAATAGGCATAGGAAGGAACTTCCTGAACAGAGTCCCAGGGTCACAACAAGTTGGAGAGAGACTCGACAAATGGGACTACCTTAAAATAAAAAGCTTCTGCACAGCTAAATCTATCGCAACTAAGCTAGAAAGACAACCAACTAATTGGGAAAAAATATTTACCAGCAATATATCAGACAAGGGGTTAACATCCTGTATATACAGGGAACTCAAGAAACTAATCCCTCCCAAACCTAACAAACCAATTACTAAATGGGCAAGGGAACTAAAGAGGGACTTCTCAAATGAAGAAATAAAAATGGCAAAGAAACACATGAGGAAATGTTCATCATCCCTGGTGGTGAAGGAAATGCAAATAAAGACAACCCTGAGATACCACCTTACCCCAGTCAGAATGTCCCACATCCACAAATCAGCCAACGACAAATGCTGGAGGGGATGTGGAGAAAGAGGAACCCTATTACACTGCTGGTGGGAATGTACACTTATACAACCACTTTGGAAAGCAGTCTGGAGGGTCCTTAGAAAGCTAAAGATTGACCTCCCTTACGACCCAGTCATACCACTTCTAGGCATCTACCCTGAACAACAGGAACCAATATACAAGGACACGTGCACCTCCATGTTTATTGCAGCACTGTTCGCAATAGCTAGGATATGGAAACAACCTAGGTGCCCCACCACAGATGAATGGATCCAAAAATTGTGGTATCTATACACAATGGAATATTATGCAGCCATTAGAAATGACAAAATAATGGCATTTGCAGGGAAATGGATGGAGCTAGAAGGAATCATGTTGAGCGAGGTAAGCCAAGAACGAAGAGACAAACGGTACATGGTCTCCCTCATAAGTGGATGCTAAATCCAAAAGGTTAGGTGATACGACAAAACTAACAGGACTTAAGAAACAAAGAACTCCCGCTCATCTGGTTGAACCACTACTAAATATCCTCATGCTGCTGATCACAAATATGGTACATAACATGTGAACACTGTTATATATTACAGACTGTGGTAGACAATTTGCTCCAGGGAAGTTAGAATGAACTTGTGACTTTGAAATTATGTAATCATTTAATCACAATCAAAAAAAAAAAAAAAAAAAAAAAGAACCTCGGGGAAGGGAGGGAGGGAGGGGATGGTAGGGGGAAAACAATGGAGGGGGTAACAATGTTCAAGAGGAAGTGTACTCATAACCTCACTCATGTAACTGTAACCCTCTGTATAGTAGCTTTACAATAAAAAAAAAAAAAAAAAAACTCATAACAAATAGTATAAAATTGTAAATAATATATAAAAACTCTATGAGGCTTATCCTTCAATAAGCACTGATTTAATATATTCATAGCCATCAAAAACTGTGAAAAATAAGTAAAAATTATATCAGTCAAATTGTAAACAAAATACATATGTGCACAGGTACACACACATACATAAATTTAAAGGCAAAATTATCTCTAGAGATAAAGAGAATAACAGTAAAATAGTAAATCAGTTCACCAAGAAAGTGTTTTAAAGCCAGTATGCTCCTACTAACAGCCTCAAAACTGTAAAATACCACTGGAGACGTGACTGATAAGTACCTGCCTAACAAGTGTGAGGATCCTAAGTTCTAACTTCAGTACACACCCAAAAAAACTATAAAATAAACATTATACTCGATTACCCAAAGGAAGAGATCGCTCAAGTATTTGTACTTATATTTGTCTTATCTAAATGCATACACATTAGGTATGTTATATACATTTATATGGAATTGAAGAGATTAGATTCAAAAGGTGAATAACTCCTAAGAGTGATATTACTCTGCCTTTGCAGATCTCAAAACTGAGTTGGATCGAGAAAAAAATGGCTGCTACTCTGTTTGGAAAAATACCATCCTCAACTATACAAGAATCTTTTCACAACTTCCTAAAGGTATAATTTTTCTCTGTTATTTTAGTGTCAGACTGCCTGCTATTTTCACCAGTCCCTGCTACCCCTGATGTCAAGGAAATGTTTCTCTTCTTTGTTGTATAGTTCTCTGCTTGAAACCCCAGAATGAATCCTGGCTTTTACGATGCTCTGTTTTGAGCATCATGATGAGCATCATGATCCAAAGTATGCTTCATGCATAAACATTTTTGATCCTCTAGCTATGCTAGTCCTAGGAATAACAAGATCCTTTTTAAAAATCATCCAGCTATCTACATGAGACTTTAGATACAGCAGCCCCATCACATTATCCTCCTACTAAATCTGGAAGCAGCTCCACCTCATGTAGCTTGTGTAGGAACAATCAGGCTCTAATTCAGACTTGCTTCCCACACTACTCATAATCTTAAGAGGGAATTGGTTTAATCTTAATTAAAATATCCCAAAGGGAGAGTTATTTTAAAAACCACCTCCTAAAAGCCTTATAAACATTTCTGTAGAAGACTCTTAGGACATCAGATCCAGTATTTTTATTCTTACATTAAAATGCAAAGCTATTATATTAATATAACTTTGAAGAGTTATATGAAGGTAGGCACTCATGGAAATGTATAATACGTCTAGTCATATAATTAACATCTGATTGGTCTCATTCCTTTCTCTGGAACTGATTATAAAATCTTAGTTACAGGTTAAGGATCTGAAATCATGAATGTCTCAAAATCTGAAACTTGAGTACCATCAAGTCAGCTCTCAAAAAGTTTCAGATTTTGGAGTTCTTGCTCCTAGACATCTCTTTATAGAGAGTTCAAGGGACCAGGACTTTGTTTCTAGGCAGAGCATCATTCAGTTGGGTCCTGTACAGGCTTTAGAATAGGAAAAATGAAACTGGGAGTGAGCCTTTTCTGTCTGCATGACCTGGATGTCTTCTTTTATTTTTCTTACATCATAAATCGTTCATCTATGAAGTAGGCATAGTAATACCTACTTTGTACAGCTTTTGTAAAAATTATACACAACAGTACCTGCAATCGTCTTGTCCCAGAGCTCTAGCACATTAAGGATTCCAAGTAAATATTTACCTGTACCTATATAAATATAGATATGCATAGATATAGATATTTTGTTCTTTATTAATGGAAAATCTGGTCTTCCATGGCCTCAAAGTTGACTAATCATCATCCATGACTTCCCTATAGAAATGCTTTCAAGCTGGATTATGATTCCCATCTCATCCAAAATTCTGCCACTCTTCTCTAGGGCAGTGACAGTCAAAACTGCTACCTGTTAACATCATTGGAGCCTTAAAATATGTCACCCAAGGCCATGACTCACAGTAATTGTTTGAGAGTCTCTGTGTACATTGAAGTATAGTTTATATATAATAAATTATGCCCATTTCAACATACTTCAGTGAAATCTGACAAATTTACATCCCTGTGTAATCATCACCATTTCAAAACATAGTGCATTTCCATCACCATGAAGTTACCTTTGGCCCTTTACAGGCAGTTTTCCACTCCAGGTAACCACTAGTCTGCTGTCACCATAGATTAGTTTTGCCTGGTCTAAAATTTTATATAAATGGAATCATACAACTTTTGCTTGAATGCATACGTGACTTCTTTCACTTAGAATGATTTTAGATTCATTTTATTTAGTATATTGTTTTTTTTATTGCAGAGTAATATTTTCTTATTGGTATTATACTACAAGATTTATATCTTATACAATCTGTGAACATTTGAGTTATTTCCAATATGTGACTGTTTTGGATAAAGCTTCCATAAATATTTATATTCAAATATTTGTGTGGACATGTTTTTATTTTTCTTAGGTTTATATCTAGGGACTGAATGGTTGAATATATAGCACATGTTTTTGAAGTTTGATCAGTAGTTTTGAAGCTTTCAGAGTGATTTCTGGAAACCTATGGCAGAGTTGGGAACTACGGGACCAAGAATGAGTGAATGTAGTAGAGGACAGGATGACAAAATTGATAGATCAGCAGCCATGATCTTACATACTGTTTCCAATTGTAGGATCTCTAGTCTTTATCAGTTGTTTCCCCAGCTACTAAGCTTTCTTTTTTCTTTTCTTTTTTTTTTTTTTTTTTTTTTTTTTTGTCGGTCGTGGGGCCTGAACTCAGCTGGGTGCTGTCCCTCAGCTCTTCAGCTCAAGGCTAGCTCAAGGGCCACATGCAGCACTTTACCACTGAGCCAACTTCCTAGCCTCTAAGCTTTCTTTTATGTGCTGTTATAGTTAAAGAAAAAAAGAAGCAAGCAATTCCTTGAGTTTCTATTTTAAAGCGTAGCTTATTATTCAACAATGTTGATTAAGCAGATACCTAATATCAAACATACTATAAATGTAGGGAACGCAGAAGTGACCAGCACAGCGCCTGCCTTTAAGGAGCTTGGATAGCCAAGAGCAAGTAAACACATGTAGTATTCTTTGCCACATATTATGACAAAGACTGTTCTAAGAGTCTCTCTAGAGAGAGGGACTAATTCAAGCATTATACTAAATACTACTCTCCTTTTAATTCATTAAGGAATTTGGTAAAAAGTCACAATTGGCCTCACTTTGGAAAATTCAGTATTGTTCATAGCCTGACGGTTCCTTGGGGATTTTTTATGTGTTTGTATGCTGGTCCTGGGGCTTGTGCTCAGGACCTGATGCTGTCCCTGAGCTCTTGTGCTCAAGGCTACTACTCTGCCGCTTGAGCTGCAGTTTTACTTCTGACTTTTTTGGTGGTTAACTGGAAATGAATCTCACAGATTTTTCTTCCTGGGATGGCCGCAAACCACGATCCTTAGATCTCAGCCTTCCGAGTAACTGTGACTTCAGGCATGAGCCACCAGTGCTCAGCTTTTGGTTTGTTTTTTAGCCATAAGAACAAAATAAAAATTAAAATATTCTGATTTATAATAACTTTTATTAATTAAATCTGGGCACTAAAATATGTATAAAGGATTCAAAAGTATACATTAAAGAAATAAGCTACTTAGGGATGCATGGATTGAGGCAAATTATCCAGATAGGATTTGCACAAAGCTGAGGCAGCTAGTGGACCTAGAAGAAGGAAAAGTTGACCAAATTTCAGTCCACGCCTTTTTATTAGACTAGCTTAAAAATAATGCTAAACTACAAATGTTGAAGTGGAAATGGTTAAACAAGAGAAGACGTGGGCGAGCCAGGCTCCACCTACACCATGGGAGGCTCCACAGGACATTCAAAGCCAGGCCTGGCTAGGTCTGAGCTACAGCTTCCTTTGGCCTTACTAGTTCTCTTCCACTTCACAGTTAGACATGTGTTTTAGTCTCTTTCCAACAAGCATGTAGGATCGAGAATGTTTTTGGTCAATATTGATAATAGTGGAAATAGAGAATACCATTAGGGAATGCTTAATTTAATCATGGAATACCTATAGTATGAAATATGTCTCCTAGGAATAATGAAGTAGAACTTTGAATGCTAACATGAAAATGTGTTTGTAATACCTGAAGGGAGGGAGTAGCTTAAGGCTCACATTTTAAAAAATGGTCTCATTTTTTTTTCCTTTGCCCTGGACTTCTATGAAGAATCTGATAGGGTATGTGTCAAACTGTTGATAGTGGTTACTCCTGGGAAATGGGATTGAACTGAGAAGAAAATTTGAAAGGAGAAGCTTTCACCTTTTAAATTTTGGAAATGTCAAGATAGTTTGTATCTTGTAAAACAAGCATATTTTTGGAAGCTTTTAGAATTGTCCCTCTCTTAGATCCAGCTTTCTTCTAGACTTGGGGTTATCACTTTGGGGATTGGGGTTAATACTTTGCTGTAGCACTACCATATCCAGGAAAGACGTCTTCTCTCCCAAAGATAAAGATATATAATTGGTCCATAAAGGAGAAATAGTGAAGGGTAAAATCTCTTTTAAATAAAAGTACCTCCTTAAGTTCCTTCTCTGCTGTTGTCTACTACTTGAAATAGATGTTTCAAGGATCTATCTTTCCTTTTAAAACATTTGAAGTAATTCTGATGTTATTCAGTCATGTTTGAATTAATCTAAAATCAATTATTAGTCTAGGGAAAGACATATGCTTATATATGCATGTGTATGTACATGTATGTATATGTATACACACATATTTGTGAGTTTCCTTTTTTGACATTACTTTATGAGATTATTTATACTTTAATGGCTAAGTGCAAAGACTATGTATTTCCCCAAAGATATTGATAAATGGTACTGGCTAAGGAGTCAACTGTGAAATAACCACATTAAGTCCTTAACACAGTTTGGTTCATAATATCTCTTGTAGCTAATGTTATTATTGTGATATTTGACTGTTATTCTGTCTGCTTTCTCTTAAATCAGGCTGAAGAACTCCAATCTGGCTATTCTATGTCCAATTACATGTATTTGGCCAAGGTAATGAAGACTACTTGTTTAAAGATCACTTTGAATCTATTTACATAAAAATGAGATTGCTACCTTTGATATAATTATTTTTCACTTCTAGTGTTGTTTTGATCTTGAGAAAAATCAGGATGCTTGGAAGTTCTGTAACATGGCATTATTACTCCCTATTGTTTCCAAAGAGGTAAGTCTACCCAGTGACAAGAGTACTATGCAAGATAAAACATGAACAGCTAGCTTAGTATATATGGATTTTTCTTTACTTTCTAAATATTTGTTTATTTTTATTTTCCAAGTTTGCTAAAATATAATAGAACTGTATATGTAAGGTGTATAACTTGATGTTTTAATATATGTATATACTATGAAATGATAATCACCATCAAACTAAATGACATGTCCATTACCACAGTTATCTTTGTTACTGCTGTTGACACCAAAAATTTCATCTTTTAGCAAACATCAAGTGTACAATACAGTGTTATTAATTACAGTCACAAGATGGATATTTTTACAGCTTACTTATACTATAATTGAAAGTTTGTACCCTTCAGCCATTTTCTGCTTCTGTCATAGCATTTTTTGTTGCTGTTGTTGTTGGTCATGGGGCTTGAACAATTGGCCTAGGCGCTGTCCCTCAGCTCTTCAGCTCAAGGCGAGTGCTCTACCACTTGAGCTTCAGCGCCACTTCCAGCATTTTCTTTTATACAAAAACATTTGGGCTTTTTGGCCTTAAATATCTATAAACCTGACCGGGATTTATTGAACAGGAGCTGAGACCATGTTATAGTTTGTCACTACAAATGTTATATCAAGATAGTCTAGTAGCAAACTCTCAGATAGACCTAGTTTCTTTGCCCACACCCCACTATTTTCTTTTCTCTAACCAAAGTAACATGCAAACTCTTTATTGTCTTGGTCTATGGATTAAGTAACTCTTCCTTGGAAGAACTCATTTGTTACAATGTCAGTGCTAGTGTGATTGGTATTCTATAACTACATGTGAGAATGGGACATTTGTCTCATATTACAGAGAAGCTATTCCATCCTTCACCTATCAACTGTTGAAAAAGATTGATGAACTCCTGAGTATATTAGCACTAAATGATCCTCCTTGCTCTAAAAAAAATTTCTTACTTAGATTTTTACATGTACTATAAAGTTTCAAATTTTTCTCCCTTTCTGTGAGATAACCTTTCCCTGAGAGATCAGTTGAATCGTTAATGGACATTCACATGGCAGCTAGCATACAAAGCATCCTAATGCTGCTAGTTAGGTGTAAGACTGGAGGGAACAAGACAAGCCCCACAGGAAGGAGCTGATCATTAAACTCTGTGCAGCAGACAAATCGTCACACTTAGGGCACAGTGAATGAATGTTCATGTGGTTACGGGTCCTCAGCTCACAGCAGGATGTGGCTATAAAAAATATATAAAGGCCATCTCACACACACAGATTACACACACACACACACACACACACACACACACACACACACACAGAGCGAGAGAGAGAGTAAGAGAGAGAGAGAGAGTGCACACTAGGGCTTCCTCACATCTCACAGTTAGAGAGAAAAAACAGCAATCCTGTTGACATGCTGATGGATCCATTGTGTGAACTTACATGGAAGGCTTTCCTCTTCCTGAGTCCTTACCACTCCAGTTGTGATGGAGGAAGAGCCTGAAGATAACTCTTCACATTAACACACATTTTCATAGATCTCCATCCTGCTCAGTACTAAGAAATCCAGTTTCTCAGTAAAGGCCATTCAAAAAATATGCCTGTACTCCACTGTGGTCTGTTTCAAAGTACCAGAGTAATTGTGTGAAATTTCATTATATTTTCTTTTATAGGACAAAGAAGCGCATAAAGAAGTGAAAAAAATAATTGCTGCCTTGAAGAGGTAAATAAAAGAACTTACTCTTCAAAAATCCGATGGGTCTAGTAAAGTTTAAGTTTCTCACAGTTATATTTTTAATCATCATTTTTTTCTTTACTATGTAAGGGTAATGTGCTCTGATTTGAAGGTAAAATGTGTTTCTTCATAATGACTCTTATTAGAGGCATTATAAACAAATCATGTTATTTGGAGAATCCTACTTACTATAATGTCAGTATATAATGATCTATAAACATGTATGCTTTGTATTTTTCCTATCAATAAACTGTAGCCTTAAGAATATTTCTTTAAATAAAATATTTAAATCAATCCAATAAATAAATTCTAATATTGAATCCTTGTTTCAATAGAGATTTTATAAAGCAAAATAATTTTATTAATGTTGAAAACTGAAAATAATAAGCACAGTTGTTGGTAGCAAAACCCAAAGAAGAAATACAACTACTAAGTGGAGATACATGGTACATTATAATAAAATACTGCTTTACTATCAAATTTGCAAGGATTTCTCTTCTTTCAGAAAATACTAATGCCAATGCCACAAGAGGAAATAGTCTCATATACTATTAGCAGGAGGACATTTTTGGGAACAAACTATTGGCAAAATGTATCTAGAGCCTTTAAGCTACATAAACTCCAACTTTACCTTTCCATTTTATGGAGATATTGTTAAATAAAAAAGTCCGAATGCTTTATATACAAATGTTCATACCAGTATAACCATATCCAATTTTAAGAGAACAGTTACATCAGAATTAAAATGCACTTCAGTACTATTTCTGACATAAGAAATTAGTATTTGCTTGGTGTGGTGGTGCTGAAATCCATGCACTTTGGATTGAATTCAAAGTCATTCTGGACTCCAAAGTTAGAAATACACTAAAATGGTTGTAGTTTATATATTTTTGTAAAATTGTTTTTTGTTTGCTGCATTTCCCAATTTTAATAATAAAAATGTATATAATGTTTTAAAAAATGAATATAAGAGCAGCATAGTGGCTGAAGTATGTAATCACACTACTTAAAAGGTAGAGATAGAAGAATCATAATGTAAAATTGGCCCAGACAAAAAGAGACCCTATCTGAAAAAAATTAACTAAAACCTAAAAGGATGGAGGTATGAGTCAAGTGATAGAGAGCCTGCCTAGCAAATTCACGGCTCTGAGTTTAGTCCCTAGTAACACACACACACACACACACACACACACACACAGAGAATTTAGCTTGCAACAATCTATAAAGGATTCCCTGGTATCCTTTAACTAAACTCAGTCTATAAATCAGAATAAACTTGAATTTCTTAATACATCTGTGCTCGTGCACACACATGCACACATATATACACTGACTTACAAACTCAAAAGTTTCAAGCCTTACCTTAGAGGTGTCAGTTAATAAAATAGAACTATTTTTTCTCTTTCATCTTTTATACTAATTCTCACCCACTCTCTTCTGCAACTGGTCTCATATTGGAAGTGCAGGTTAGATGGAGGCCAGGGACTCACAGATACCCTCATGGATTTAGAGCCCATAGTACTATGGATACTCTGGCTAGCTCTACATGATGAAAAGGACTGGAAAATTGTGAAAGCATCAAGTAATAGAAAATTACATCATAGGCCTTGTGAAAACAGCTCTTTCCAGTAGAAAATAGTACAAAGACTTCCTCTAAAAATTATGAAGACTATAGAGGCTCATTCCTGTAGATAAAGAAGTAAGACTCGGGGGCTGGGAAGGTGGCTCAGTGGTAGAGCGCTTGCCTTGCATGCATGAGGCCCTGGGTTTGATTCCTCAGCACCACATAAGCAAAATGAAAAAAGCCTGAAGTGGCGCTGTGGCTCAAGTGGTAGAGCGCTAGCCTTGAGCTGAAGAGCTGAGTGCTGGACAGCGCCTAGGCCCAGAGTTCAGGTTCCACAACCGGATCAAAAAAACAAAAAAAGAAATAAGACTTGGAACTCATAATTGAAACATGGCATAATGTCTGATCAACATTCATTTATTTTAATAATGTTCCTATTTGGTCCTTTTCATAAATGTCTTCAATAGGCAAGTTGGAATCCACCGATTGGGTAAGTGGTATAATAGTTTATGGATAAAGGCTTGACTCAATAATATTGAGCTTCAGAGTAATAGGAATTTCTAGAACATTTGGTAGTTTCTCCAATAGGGTATTAAAGAAAATTCCCCTTTGGGACATGGTCATACCCGTTTCAAGTTACCAATAAGCACTGCCATTTGCTTAGTTCCAAATTTACACTGAGTCATATTTGCAGTCCTTACCAAATTACATGGTCAAAACACACACACACACAAAATAAAAGTGTGATGAAGTCAACTAACAATTTTCTAATCTGGTCACCAGTGGCTCACACCTGTAATCCTAGCTACTCAGGAGACTGAGATCTGAGGATGACAGTTCAAAGCCAGCCGGGACAGGAAAGTCCCCATGAAAGTCTTATCTCCAATTAACCACCAGAATACCAGAGGTGGTGCTGTGGCTCCAAGTGGTAGAGCACTAGCTTTCAGCAAAGGAGCTGAGTATTTTATTTTTGTATGACAGCATTGCATATAGAATATTATACTTGCTCCAGAGAATGTCATACAAAGTGAACCACATAGACTCTAATTTTCTGTGGTTACTTCATTCATCACTCAGGACGCATGACTTTGGAAAGCCCAGATTATCTCTGCAGCAGTACTCTTGAAATGAGGATTTCTCCTGGTGGACAGCTAAGGTCAAGTTCCTGGTACATTCTGCACTCACAGATGAAGTACACAAACTGCTGACCTCTCAAGAGACTTTGTGTACAACTTTGGAAAAGTGAAGTTCAGATCCAGAAATGTGAATAGGTTCAACTTCAGAAGATACTCGTCCAGCTGTCTGTGATATTTCTCATAAAACATTCACGAAGTAACTGCGTGTTCCACTAAAATTTTAACAGTTGTGGTGTCCCTGTAATTTCATACAATAAAACAGATGGCCTTCATTGTAACAAGAAAGTTAGTCTGATTTCTTAGTTGTATCTAAAAGTTGTGAAGAGGCTTTTGTTTTATAATACTTTTATACTTTTGAAATTTAAAAAAAGGCAGTGGTAAAATACAATCATTGGAACCAAACTTCACATTATACCAAGGAACAGTTTAAGCTCTGGTGTATAAAGGGAGAGAGAACTGTTAGTAGACAAGACAGGATTGGGCTTCAGGCCTTGGACTCTCATTGTCTTTTACATCAAGCCAAGGGCTATTTGCATCGAACGGAGTCTGGCAGAGAATCGTGGCTGAGAGGATTGTAACTTACGTGGCCATTACTGATTCTAAGTGTTTGTTTGTATGTTTGTTCTGGATCAACTCATTTCATCATTAGAGCAACCCTATGAGGAAGGAGCATTCATTTTTGCCCCATCTGTAGGTAGAGAAGGAAATGCACAAGATACTAAAAACCCATGCCTAACACAATGAGCAAGGGATTTGACATTGGACAACTGCTCCTGACTACTATGCAATCCTGCCAGCAAATGGGGGAAGATAGAATGGGGAGATGAACGACAGGAGGTGGCAGAAGCACTAAAAATGAAAGGAAGGAAGCAGGTACTGATGGCTCATGCCTATAATCCTAGCTGAGATCTGAGGATCTCAGTTCAAAGCCACTCAGGGCAGGAAAGTCTGTAAGACTCGTACCTCCACTAAAAGTTACCCCCCAAATTCTGAAAGTGGAGATTTGTGGCTCAAGTAGTAGAGCACTGGCCTTAAGCAAAAGAAACTTAGAGACAATGCCCAGGTTCAAGCTCAGGTCCCTCACAAAAATAAAAAAATAAAAAAGAAAGAGAAAGAGAGAAAAAGAAATGAAGGAAGAATGAAGGGGGAAAAAAGGTTAATTTAAAAATAGTAACATGGGGCTGGGAAGGTGGCTCAATGGTAGAGTGCTTGCCTTGCATGCATGAGGCCCTGGGTTCGAGTCCTCAGCACTAAGTAAGCAGAAAAAGCCAGAAGAGGTGCTGTGGCTCAAGGGGTAGAGCTCTAGCCTTGAGTTGAAGAGCTGAGGGACAGTGCCCAGGCCCAGAGTTCAGGCCCCACGACTGGAAAAAAAAAAAAAGTAACATGGAGGGATTATGGAGAGAAAGAAAATAGTAAGAAGTAATGAAAACTCTTAGACTTAGTTTTTTAATATTAGCCTGTATTTTCTAGTTTCACATCTTTAATTCACAATAAACATGTTTTCCTCCCTTACATTATTAAGTCTCAAATTCCCACCTTCTCCCTACTACCTCCACCAAGAAAGGGAAAGTTCTTGAATACTTGGTTGGAATATGACATCCCAACTAATTTAAAATTTGGAAATCTAATTTGTGCCTGGGAAAATTATGAACTGGAAGTTACATGTGGAAAGTGAGTTGGAAGTTACTGGTGTCATGCAACTGTGCCTCCAGCCCTAATTGCACAGTCCTAGCCAAGCGGCTGGACCCACCATGTTGGGAATAGAATTCATCTGGTGCCCAGCATTGAGGATCATAATTTTTTAAAGGTCTCAATCATAATGGTAGTGATTTTCCCAGCCAAACCATTAATTCAATAGTTTATTTTGTCTCTGTTTGAGACACATTTAATTTCCCTGCATTCTTTTGTTCTAAGGAGCTCAGTGTACTTTGCAATTGTAATTAATTTGAGATTTATTGAGAATATTGTGGGGCCATCTGGAAGCTGTGCCAAATTTTGTGAGGGTCTGAAGAATATACAAGTTGGGGATCTTTAGGAAAAAAAGGATATAATGCTACAAATATAAAATTGAGCTTGTAATAAAAAAGACATCGTGACAAATTATATGATATAAAGAGCTGATGAATAGCCCAGACAACACAAAAGCTAGAAAAATAACATCTGATTATTCATTAATGATGTGGCATGCCTCTAGCATGTTTTCTTTAGCATTTTGTCTTTAGCATATTTTCTTTAGCATTCTTTTCTCATTTCACCATATGGCATTAATTTTAATGCCATTTTCTGTTGAAATGGTAGAAGATGAAATATTGGTATTTAGCATGATCAAGAGACATTTGTGTTATATTAGACATGATTTAGGAAAGCTCTGCTCAGTCTCATTTCTTGTTGGCAGGGGCCCGAAGCAACTTCCTCAGCAGCCCTTCTTCCCAGGGTGAGCCTTTGGAGAGCTTTTGAGCATATCCACCCAAAGGCTGAATTTCCCTCACTAAAGCTGCCTGGAGCAATCAGTTTTAACTCTTCCAAACCTTGGCACCTCCAGTGCCCAGCTCCATCTCAACCCAGCTGTGGGTGGATCCCAATACGCCTTGGAGCCTGAGTCATAATAGGTCCAGGGATGGATACAAGCAACATCTTGTTTATATTCTTCTCTTTGCAGGAAGGAGGGTTAAAGGCAGGATCTAAAGCTCAGTGTAGGCCTCCAGAAATAACCTGCCCTAGGAACTGGATGCTTTAGAAGTTAGAAGCTTGCCTGCTAACCATACTTATCATCAAATTCACCATAATGTTTAGGAACCAGGCTCCCCCAAGCCTTCCTCCTGGAGACAGGGCTGCTCTTGAGTGGATGGGTAGAGGAAAGACTAGGAGAAGAGAGTGAGCACATGCCCATTGAACAATAGCTAACTAATCCCAATACTTGGCTATCTCCTTCCAGACTGTCCATGCAAAAAGGTCAGGAGTTAGCCAGGCATCAATGGTACCCTATGTTCCTATACTACTTGCCATTGCAACAGACTTCCAGCACCGTCCTGTCATGATTACTGGATTGATTGTTGCTCAAAATTCATTTGGTGGTGCTGGAAAGGTGGCTCAGTGGTAGAGCGCTTGCCTTGTATGCATGAGGCCCTGGGTTCGATTCCTCAGCACCACATAAGCAAAAAGAAAAAAGCCGGAAGTGGCACTATGGCTCAAGTGGTAGAGCGCTAGCCTTGAGCTGAAGAGCTGAGGGACAATGCCCAGGTCCAGAGTTCAGGCCCCACGACCGGACCCCCACCCCTCCAAAAAAAAAATTCATTTGGTACTCTTCTGCCCTGTGGTTTGGTTTTATTCTGTTTTCCCTGTTCCCACACCTGCCCATGAAAATCTTCCTCTCCCATAAAACCCTATTTGAACGATGGAAGATCATCCATAAAACCTTTGGATCCACATTATCAGTTGCAGTCTTGCTTACTTTCAAGTGCAAGAGCATTTTGTGTATGTGTGGTTTTAAGATCTTCAGGTGACATCAGGAGTAGTTTTGCCCAATTAATATTTGTACAAACAAATCAAGCAACTCAAGAGAGACACTTCACATGTTCCTTAGGAGCCTAAAAGAGAAAGCTGGGAGTCATGCCTACCCTTAGCGAGAGACATGACAGGGAGAGGGCAGAGAAAGAGCAAAGGGAAGGGAAGTACAAAAAGGGCAGGGGCCGGATGCTGGTGGCTCACGCCTGTAATTCTAGCTACTCCGGAGAATGAGATCTGAGGATGGAGGTTCAAAGCCAGCCCAGGCAGAGGAAAGTCAGTGAGACTTTTTTTGGGGGGGGAGTAAGGGGTCCAGTCATGGGGCCTGAACTCTGGGCCTGGGCACTGGCCCTCAGCTCTTCAGCTCAAGGCTAGCGCTCTACCACTTGAGCCACAGCACCACTTCTGGCTTTTTTCTTTTTGCTTATGTGGTGCTGAGGAATCGAACCCAGGGCCTCAGGCATGCAAAGCAAGTGCTCTACCACTGAGCCACCTTCCCAACCCCTCAGTGAGACTTTTATCTCCAATTAACCATCAGAAAGCCAAAAGTGGTGCTGTGGCTCAAAGTGGTAGAGGGCTAGTGTCAAGCAGAAAAACTCAGAGACAGTGCCTAGGCCCTGAGTTCAAACCCCAAGACCAACTGAAAAAAAAAAAAGGTAGGGGGCAGAGGAAGGGAGGACAGTCAGGAAATGGGAAGCCCCACCTGTCAGGGGCCAGACAAGAGACAGTAAGTCTGAGGCAAGGCCAAGGGCAGCGTTAGACTTCTCATAGCTAATTATTCAATAAAACTTTTGTTGCTGGGATAAGTTAAGAAAACAATACCATTCTCATTTAACCAGGGAGAAAGCTGAAACGATGTATTCCATATACCTATTTAGTGTGAAGGAAGAGAATTTGTTGCCAGACTTCTAGCCCTGGCCTGGATATCACTGAAAGAATTCAAATTTCAAATCACATAGTCTCCAGCCATTTATAATTAAAGTCTATAGGGACTAGCTCTCTGTTCCTATTTGCCTCCAAAGTGTTTAAGGCTGCTAAAATAAAAGGGGAGACTCTTTTGAAAAAGATGTTGTTCTTGAAAATTGTAAAATTGCTAGCTTAGCCAAGTCAGTATTTCCCATGGAACGTAGGAATGGTTGATTGGAAGGGAAAATAATAATTTGAGATGAGCAAGAGACAAGAAGTTTGGTGTCTATATGAGATAAATTCATGGGAACGACCTAGAAAGGTGCCCTCCTCTCCTTAGGGAACAACTTACTTGCACAGGATTGGTGATTTTAATTTTATTTTATTGCAAAGATGCTGTGCAGAGGGATTGCAGTTACATGAATAAGGTGATGAGTACATGTCTTGTCAAACATTGTTACCCCCTCCTTTGATTTTTTTCTTACTATCCTTTCCCTCCCCCAGGATTGGTGATTTTGCCACAAGATGTTGGTAGCTCATATATGCTTTATATCTCTTTTTATTTTCATGCAAAAATGTGGAAAATGTGGATGTCCATTGTTACAGAGTAATTAACATTTTATAACATAGTTACTTGAATTATGATATATCTGGCAGTTGCAAATCCCCATCTCAATTATGTCTGCCTGATCTGGCCAGAGAAATTGGAGGAAGGGACAAATCTTATCTGTGTTTTAACAAGCCCAATTAACTAAAAATGATCAGCATTCACTTTCTCTACAAGAAAAACAACTTACTGCGGCGCAGAAATAGTTAACTACTTGTGTCCTCCTGACTGTCCCCCGCCCTGGT